AATATTCATAAGTGTATTTATTATTCAAATGAATTGAGAGAATGGCATAGAGGTACTATGAACTCTCTGTTAGCAATGCCAACTATTATGTCTATGGACGAGAGGCCTTTTCTTCCAGAGGGTGCGGAGGAAATGCAAGACAACATTTACCAAGTCATTTCTAGTTTTTGATGAAACAGAATGGTTTAATGGGAAAAAACATAAGCTTTTAAGTCAAGTGAACCTGGCTTTTAGTGCTGGTTCTCATACTTAGTGGCTGTGTGACCTTGGGTAAATTAACCTCTCCGAGCTCTATCTCTAAACAGGAAAAGTTATACCTATTTTATAGGCTTAATCGAGTATCACATATGATGGGCCTGACACATAGTAGGTGCCTAATTCATGTCAATTCATTATATTTTTGAATAATTCAGGCAAAAGCTTTAGTAGGATGAAGACGCTGGTGACAGTCACTAAAATGAGGTTTGGCACTTATTTTCTTTCCCTGATGCTTAGAAGTAATTAGGTGAACATTTGTATGGTAGAATTTAAATAACTAGAAGAAATCAAAGAACTTTTGCCCTGTAGTTTTTCAGTGTTTTTCACAAGTAGATATGTGTCAAGCCAAGGCAAAATATGTCCCACGAGGACAGGAACTAGGTCTGTCTTGTCCACTGATTTATCTTTAGCACCTGAGATGGCATGCAATTAATACTGGTTGAATTAATTTTCATTTAATTTTAAAAGATATTTGTGGAGCTCCTACCCAATGTGAGGCACATAGAGTTCACTTATGACTCACCTAGTAGGTGAAGCATAGCTGGCACCAATACTAGAGTATGGGCCTGGACACAGGAAGATGGCCTGGGGTTCCCAAGTTGTCAGTCATACAAAGCATAGCTGGATGGTCCACATGAAACTTCATTTATTAATTACCCAAGTCAGGGACTGATTCTTTTAAGTACAAATAATGTTAAACCAGGGGTATCTCCTTTAAAAAGCACAGGAGATTTACCAATTTTTGGAGAATCCTAAGCTTAAGATCATCATCCACACTGCATATACCAGGGGGATAAGATGCTTGGGTAGGGACACAGAGAAATGGGTCACCAAACATTGAGACCTTCTGCAGATGACACGCTAGATGTTTACTATGGATAGGTCAAGGCAGGGTGCTTGTGCTGGGCAAATTAGTGATCGTAGCCAGAGAGGGTTCCTTACCTTTAGGTGTTCTACTTTTATTCATTTTGTTGAGGCTTACCATCGATAATAACAGTATAGCCTTTTTCTCCCCTATTCTTATGTCACTGTCATCACCAGCTACAAACCTACCTGGTTATTATATGTGGGCATTTGGTGATCTCCTTCTTTACTGCAGTGCCAAAGAAACACGTTTCACACTATTTAGAATAAATTTGAGAACTGGATGAACCAGATGATCCCATTTCCAATTTATCCTTTGTTCTCTTGCGGTACAAATAAAATGGCATCTGTAGGAGGGGCCGCTCTAAGGTAGCAGGGCTCTGGTTAGACCCAGAAATGCAGTTTAAGGACTAAAGAGAACCTCTAGGAAACCTACATGGGATTCAGAAAATATTCAGGACTTACAAAATTCATTTTTACCTCAGGTCTTAATCTCTTTTCAGATATGTGTTTAATAAATCTCAGATCAACATCTACCTTTGCAGGGTCAGGGTAGAGAGTTGTGGAAGACATAGACAACCCATTTGATACATTTTAGGGAGATAAATAAACCTCACAACTGGTTGACATGCTTCTGTGATATAAAGATTCAAAGCTAATCAATTCATTGCCTCACATATTTTAAAAAATAGAAATAACAGAAGATTAAAAGAAAATATCAGAAAATGCTCTTTTAAAAAAAGGTAAAAATCAGAATCTTAGAGGCTTAAGAGACTAGTTAGCAAGACTCAGTTGGATTCATTAAATTCAGAAGCCAAGAACAACAAAAATAATTTTTAAAATGATGAGAATAATATACAGTCCAATACTCAGATGTGATGTGGGATTGCCAGGTCGATTTTCAATTACATTTCACTGATGTATTCATTTGTTTCTTAATGTGCTCATCTTGCCCATTAAGAATAATTAGCAGCTTTGCTTAGAGATTTTCTGGCTTCTGGCAATGTTTCTCCCCTATTTTTTGGTGACATCCACTTTCACTTTTTAGAAAGTAATTTTTGGATAATATCCTACAATTGCAGTATAATTTAGGCTTCCTAAAATTTTAAAGGAAAGATGTAAACAGTAATCTTTAAATGAGTTTGTTTCGATCTATATGCATGAATAGTATGTGATCCAGGGAATTAGTCATTCTTACAGGAAGTGGGCACACAAATAGAAAAAAAAATTCATTTATATTAACCTCACTCATTAAAACAGATTGCGATGAATGCCAATTGCCAGCTCTGTTAGCAAATCAAGAATAACATTAGTATTAAAAGGAGGAAAAACACATGGCCTATTCTAAGGCTTTATGCATGCTTTTTTCTCTTAATTAAAAAAAATTAGATCTAGTTACAGCAGGAAAAGGCACACAAACATAGAACAACTATATGATAAAAACTGAACTCCATCAGGAAAGTCCTAAGAGATGAAATAAAACACACTACCAGTTTTGGTTTGCATCCTGAAAGGACCTACTTTATCCACGTTGTAAAGTTCTTCCCCTCCTGCCCTTTGGCACCCTGCTATATTAAACCCATTGTAAAACCCAGCACAATAAAGCACTCTCAGGGCTGAGCTTCTGAGGACCAAATGTTAAAAATCCATTTTCTTGGGAGGGGGCTGTACCAATCATTTCTTTGAAAGGCCAGCAGAGTGAATACAGAATCTGAGATTTCCTCTCAGATTTCAAGAGCTGGCATGGCATCTTCACTGTTTAAGGGAAAGGTGCGTTAATTAATAACATTAGCATTGCTTCCCTTCTTTGAAAACTCTGTAGTTTAGCTCAGTAATAATTTTAGTACAACTAAATTTACTTACTGACTACAGATGCATCCCACAGTTTGATAAAAGTTCTAATTGGTTTCTGATGCTATTAAATAAGTCACCTGCTGACTTGAGAAAAATCTCAGGTTACTGGGCCCAATCTGAAAGTTTCTGTGGCTAAAATAACCTTCTCTTATGCAATAATCCTGCTTTTTTCCACTCCAAAAAATATATCTGTTGGGGCTGAGCTGGCATACCTGAGCTCCCTCTTGCTTTCTGTGTTCCCTAACATAAGGAGGAGGAGCACAGTGAAATGATACATGCACGGAATAACTTGGAATAAAGCAGAGTGAATGAAACATCAGCTTATCTTCAGGAATATTTTGAAAAACTTCTGACAGTCTCAAGATCATGACTAAAATCCTGCATTTTAAAAAACGAAGCACCTTTTGTGATCTCTTTCTCTTGTGTGAAAGGCCAAGATTGTGATTGGCTGTTTTTCCTTCCTGAATTTTTTTTTTGTCTATCAGGCAATTAGCTGGGTGGGTCTCTGCAGAGCACACAAGTGCCGCTGAACAATATCACCTTCTGTGCTTCCTGCCCCCCCTTTCTCCTGTTCAAGCAGCCCCGATGGAGTGGCTACAAATTTTATTTTCAAAAAACGATATAGCAGAGCTAGAACAAGAAAATCGAACATAGGTTTCATGAAGATGCCACAAAAATCAAAACTGCTTTGGCATTTGAGGGGCTTAAAATTCAAATAAGTAGACTGTCTCCCTCATAACATAAATGCAAGGCACACCAAAAAAAAAAAAATCCAAAGCAAATATATCTTCCACTTTCCCTCTCAGTTTCTAACGGCTGTTAACTGCCCCTGAACAAATCAGCTCGACTGCTAAAGTAGCCACAAATTATGCTTACTTTCTTAGTTAAAGTACAGTTCAATTTTCATGAACTCTGTGTACATATTAGTAAAGCAAAATATAATATAATGGGGTTTGAACTGTAATAGCTTAGCAAAAAAAAAAAAAAGATAGCTTTTATAATCCTAAATAAAAGAGAATAATGAAGCACTGATAGTTGTTTCCAATGGGGGATATAGGTAACTCCTAGGCAATTAGAGTGAGTACAATGTCACATAGTTTGTACAATAACATTAGTATTGTATAAAATGTATAAGAGGTAACAACAAACATGAAATTGCAAGTAAATATTTGCAAGCAATATCAAAAAAAAAATATTAAACAATATATTTTATACTGGCAAATTTCAATGGAAATAAAAGAACAAGAATGCTTGAAAATAATTATGAAACAAATTTCCTTATTGCCTTGATAGGTTCACAAAACATAGGCTCCTTTAATGAGAAGTGTCTATAAAAATCTATCGAAAGAAAAAAACTGCATAGTTGTATGCAATGAATTTATATATTTCTACTTTTTCTTAATTACTTATCATGTGTGTTGGGGGGGAGGGACTCTCTTTTAATACCCCATGCTGTCTTTCTTTATATCAATTGTTACTTAGCCAGGAAAAAGGAATGAGCACAACAAACCCGTTTTCTATCTGAATAAGGATACTCCTGATGGCCTTTTCATTCCCATCAGTTAACAGAACTTCTTTGACATCTGCAGAAATAGCAACCTGAAAAAAAAAAAGGAGCGCAGCAAACAATGAGCAAATATGCTTGTCTGTGTGGAAGTGAAGACAGGAGTGACAAGCCTTCAGTATCATGCTTCCTCACCTATTTCTCTGTAACAATCTTCAATCTTTTTTCATTTTATGTCTGCATTATTTTAATCATTCAATCAAATCAGTCAATACTTTTATCATTCCATTTGCGGGAGCCTCTATCTTGCTATCATTCTGTTCGGTAATTGCATTGTGACAGCGGATGATGGTATTCTGAGAGGCTTTCATTTGTGGGCTTCTGTTTATCTAGTAGAGCCATCATACAAGGCTGTCACTCTGCCTTTCAGCTTGCTTCTGTCTGACTGCCTGATGCCCTTCATATAACTTTGCATTGCAGGCAGATGGCTTTGTGAGGGTAATTTTTTTGTGAGCTTTGACATGCTCGCACATTGGGCTGTAACCTCGACACATTGTATAAGAGCGACAGGTTTGTCAAATGCCAATCAGTGTAACAATATGCTTTTATTTGTAGAGACATAAAAACTTGTCTAATGCACTGTGCTGCTACATAATATCTCCTGAATACATGACTCAGAACCCAGAGAATGGGGAACGACGTTCCTGAATGGCCAATCTAATTCAAAAGAATCTAATTACTGAGCGCTCTGGATCATGTTTGTTGGTGTAATAATGCAGGCAAAACATTAGCAGCTATATCATGGTGCTCCAACTGTGATTCGCTGGGCTATTCCCATATCTTAGCAAATGGGACTATAATCTGAAAAAAAAAAAAATGCTTTAGCTATGGCAAAGAAAGACTGCGAGGCCTGGAATGTCACAACAAGCGATATTGACTACACTGAGGTAAAATGTTTCTGTTCATCGAGGCAACCATAAAATCAATATGATCCGAAAGTAAGTCAATCTAGAAGGTCTCTCAAGACCCTGCAGCTTGACCGCAGCTGATGCTGTTGACGGTTCTCTGACCCAGCAGTTGGAGGCCCTGGAACATTTTTCCTTTTGTTCTTCCCTCTGAATGGGATTGGAATTGAGAAAAGACCTACCATGAGCCCAGCCAAGCATGTCATGCCACCCCCTAGCTCACACACAGCAAGGTCCCTGAAAGAGAGAAATGAAATGGTAGAACCCATACAAATTAGATGAAAACGGTCAGAGATATATATGTTACAAGAACAAATTGCCATCTGCAGTAAGAACGGCACTACCAGGAAGTTGCAGAGACATGACTAGGCTACCTCATGTCGTTTTGCATTTTTAAAATAATTATGAAATAGAAAAGTCACAAAGCAGGCAAATCAGTGGGGGTTCCCTCATTAGTGTTCACTGCAACATTACCACCGCTGAGCTGAAAAATCTGAGAAGGTTCCCTTTTTTCCCCTTGTCAATGGTGCTGTCTTTTAGAACTAAACTAGCTAGAGTAGCGAAAGATAATTGTTAGGAAAGGATAACACTGTTAATCCACATTCATTCCTTCAAAAACAGTTAGACAAGTAAATGAAGAATATACATGAGTATGTATATATACCTATATTATGGTCACATACACACAACACACACACAAATACATGCAATCCTGAATTTTTAAAAAAATTCTAAAACAGACTGAAACATTTTGGAAAGCCGAACTGCCCCCCATAAAGAACAATTACACAAAGAGCATTTAGCAATTAACACTTAAATCACAATTGACCCCAACACAACACAGTGAATAAACAATGCAGGGACATAATATGGTTAAGCCAGCAAACCCAGGCTAAAGCAATGACTGGGCTCTGACTTCCCCACTGAAAAGTAAAGCGGCTCTGAGCTGACAGTCTAGTGTGGCATTCTGCACTTACCTTCCCCTTTGTGCCTAAATATCAGACCTCAACGTGTGACATTCTCGCCCTGGCCCGCTGCTCACTGATTGGTGCTCCCGTCAAGCTTAAGTACAGCGAGATAAGCAAATGCTAGACTTCCAGGGCAGCACTGCAGCCCAAATTCAAAATTGCCCTGTTCTTATTTTATGTGCTTAGACTCTAAAGATTGTTTTTGCTTCCCAGTTCAGGAAGTTTATTACATCAAGAGGAGAAAAAAAGCAAAATTAAAAGAGAGGGAGAGGTGCGAAGAGGGGACAGGGGCAGAGAAGCCAAGCAAGGACATACATATTTCAAAAAACACTTAACGAGTATTTAGTTGTTCAAAGCAATTATAGGCTGGTCGGCAAATATGGACCCAGAGAGCTTCAAAAAATTTGACCCAATCTTGTAAGTACATATTGTTAAAACACACACCATGATCACTAATGGCTCGTCAGGAATCACGATGGGCTATTCAGAAAGTATATATTGGATAACTCCTATGAAATGAGAATTAAAATGAAAAACCTATATTTTCTGGGTCTAGCCAACACCTTTAGAATTTTTAAATAAAAGGAGTTTTTTCTTTTTCCTAAATCTCATCCACGGATTTGATCTATCATTCACACTAATAGTTGAAAACATTTATTTCCATAACATGAAACTGTAATAGTAATTTATATTTCACAAATACATATTGTTAGGTATATTAAAATACCTTTAAAACCAGGATGGCATCTTTAAATAATAGCTGTGAGGTATTTATTTATCAAATATTCTGTAGTGACTTCCCTAGCAGAAGTTTAAAGAACGTCTTTATTGTTTTTTTTTTTTTTGACCTTCACAATCACTAAGGATTGACTGGAGCTTCACTTTTGTTTCCCCCAAATCAGAGTGAAATAAAATGCCTTTAGCGGAAATCAAATGCCTTTGACGTATAGCAAAAAGCTTGCTGTGCAATATTAGTACCCAAAGGCAATTCAGATTTCTTTTCAGAAGCAACATGTGTTCACTGTGAACTTTTTTCCTGTTCTTTCTGCTTTTCTTACTGTCTTTCTTTCTTTCCTTCTTTAAAACAATTTAATTTGAAGAATGTAATCATGGCAATTTTTAATATGCAAATTCAGTATTCATGGAGGACTAAAAAATATCTTTTAAGTGTGGCTCTGTACCTGAATGTATTACTGTGCTTGAGGCAGTAGTAAGCCAGAACCTCTTCAGATGGCCAGATGCCTAGAAAACACAAGAGGATAGACTTTTTGATTATAGAAGTCATTTTCTTAAAGAAATGGCTTTTAAAAATAATGTTCAATATAACCTACGTGAACTTGAATCAAACTTAACATAGTTATTTCTCGTAAAATGTTATACCATATGAGTTTCTTTTGTTATTGTTGTTTTGTTTTTATAATGCTGAGATTTATAACCCTTTTCCTGAGGATAATAGTAAAACGTCCTAAATAAATTTTACTAAATTTCAACCACAACAAAGCAGCAAAAAGAGTAACAACCAAAATTACAAATACCCACAATTAAGTTTTGATTGTATTTCGGGTAGACCTTAATCCTGTTCACATAAAGTTAAGAAGCATCAGTTGACACACACACACACACACACACACACACACACACACACACACATGCGCAGCAAATTGTTGGCAAAAATAAATGGAAAAATCACTTGTAGGAGCAAATAAAACCACTGAGGTTGTTATACCTTTTTGTTTGATTCCATGCTAATGGTTTAAAATATTCACAATAATTTCCTTTCTTCAATTGAAAAATCACACTGGGGGGCTGGCCAGTTAGCTCAGTTGGTTAGAGCATGGTGTTATAACACCAAGGTCAAGGGTTTGGATCCCTGTACAGGCCAGCTGCCAACAAATAAAAACTTAAACTGGAGTGTAAAATTAAGAACTTTTAATTTCACCAACTCTGGCACATCTTTAAATTTAACAATCCTACTCACTAAATTCCATGGATGGGCATTTTCTAAAATTTTCATCTGTAAGTCATTTATTTAGAAAATGTAGCTCGGAAGTTATAGTTTCTAGTGGTTACCACAGGGTGGACTATAAGTGCTTTTAATTTTTTTCTTTATACTTTTTTGTATTTTCCAAAATTTTTACAATGAGCATTTATTGCTTTTATACTCATAGTAAACTATAACCTTATAAAGATTGTGTTTTCTGCAAGTGATCAGACTCAAAGACCAGGCAGGGCACCAGGCACCCTGCACTTCCTGAGGTCAAGAATGCCAGACAGTCCTGGGAAAGAGCAGCAAACATTCTCTTCTCAGCACTAAGCATTCTGCTGATGGGTCTTGATGCAAAGTTGAAACATCTAAAAGAGGCCTAATTTTTCTCCCTAGATGAGTCTCCAACTTCAAGGAGCAAGAAACTCAAACATTTCAGAGAAGAAGATGTCAAAGAAATGGTGAGTAAGAAATTCACCAAGTAAATACATGAACAGCAAAGAGGTGACTCTATAGAGCATTTGCCACAGGTAAGTCCAGTCAGGTGTACTCAGCCTCCCTGGCATTTCTGGTAGAAATGACAGCTTGGGAGTGGGGAGGGGAGACAAGAAAACCAGCAAGAAGTCTTTGGAATCATATTTAGAGGAAAAGTCATAGAGGAAGTGGGTGTAGCAGTTAAGATGACAGGTACTTTGGAACCAGACTCATTGGGCCCCAGTCCCAGCTCTGCCATTCCCTAGGTGAGTGACCTTGGATAGGTTACTTAACCTCTCTGTGCCTCAGACTCCTCATCTGTAAAATATCATAATGGTAGTATCAACCTCACAGGATTGTTGTGAGGATCAAATGAATAAAATACATGCAGTGTGTCTAGAACAGTTCCTAACACATAATAAGTTCAAAGAAAAAGAATGTTAGTTGTTGTTAATGTTACTCTCTTGTAAAGGGGGACAGAATGGTGGAAGAGAGAATATGTGAACCAAAAACAATTATCTCAATAACCAGAGCAGATGGAGAACCATTTTGACCTGCTCCTACTCTTGAACTTTAGCATGACCCCAAAGTCCTAATACCTGGCATACCTCCACATAAAAAGAACTCTAGAAAGACCAAAGGACATAATAAAATTCTCTGAAGAGCCTAAGATAGTGTTCTATACCAAGTGGATATAATCACCACAATAATGAATTTCTTTATGCCTTTAGTAGTTGGTTTTGAGGTTTTTAAAAAAATGATAGGGGAAGGGTGTTTAAAATTTAAGCCTTGATTAAGCACAGAATATGACTTTTAAAATGCATAGTCTCTTGAAATAGTTTTAATTTTCTCAAAAAATTATAGAGGCTGATTTTTAACTAAATTAAGTACAATGAACAGAAAGAACAAAGTAAATAAGTCACCTGAAATTCTGCCATTAGGAAATAATCACTTCAAATTTTGAACATCATTCCAAAAATCTTTCTAGGCATAAATGGGATCTTCTCATGTAGGTATTCAGTAATCTGATTTTGCTCCACTCAACATGTGAAAGATAGCTTGCCATGACAATAAAAATGTGCGCTACCTATGTCATTATTTGTAATGATAGCCTAAGTATTCTGTGTGCATCAGAATTCATTTAAGCAGTTTACTCTTGACAGACATTTAAGTTAGTGTCATGTCAAAGTTTTTGGTATTGTAAGATCGTAAACAGTGGTACAATGAAGATACATCTTTTCCCAACATGTGGTTTTCTCCTTAGGTCAAATTTGAAGAAATGGGAAATCTGGTAAAGGGGTTAAATACATTTCACATTTTGATATACCAACTGTCCTCCAATAAAATTAAAAACAAACAACAAACAAACCAAATTGTCCTCTAAAAAATTTGTTCCAAGCTACACCTCCAATAGGAGTGTTTATTTCCTCAAAGCCCTGCCAAGACAGGGTTTGTTAACCTATTTTATTTTTGCTAATCTGTTAAGTTTTAAAAAGTTATCTCAATGCAAATCAAAACTGAAATGAGTTCCCACTTCATACCTACTAGGATGACTGTAATTAAAAAATCAGACAATAACAAATATTAGTGAGAATGTGGAGAAATTGGAACTCTCATGCATTGTTGGTGAGAAAGTAAAATGATACAGCCACTCTGGGAAACTGTCTAGCAGTTCTTCAAAAAGTTAAATGTAGATTACATATGACCCAGAAATCCCACCCCTAGTGTGTGTGTGTGTGTGTGTGTGTGTGTGTGTGTGTGTGTGTGTGTGTGTGTGTGTGTGTGTACCAAAGAGAAATAAAAATATGTCCACACGAAAACTTGCACATGAATGTTCATAGCAGCATTATTCATAACAGCCAAAAAGTGGAAACAATGCAAATGTCCATCAACTGATGAATGAATAAATAAACTGTGGTATGTCCATATAATGGACTATTTATTTGACAATAAAAAGAGATAAAGTACTAACACATGCTACAACGTGGATAGAACTTGAAAACATTATACTAAGTGAAAGAAGCCATTTACAAAGAACCACATGTTGTATGCTTCCATTTATATGAAATGTACAGAAGAGGCATATCCATAAAGATGGAGTATTAGGTGATGGTTACCTTGGGCTGGGATGGTTAGGCATAAATGAGGTGTAACTGTTTTCGGAAGTGACAAAATGTTCTAAATTTGATTGTGGTGATGGTTGCACGGCTCTGCGAATATTCTAAAAACCAGTAGGTAAATTGTATGGTATGTGAATTATATCTCAATAAAGCTGTTATTTTTTAAAGTTTTCTCATTCTTATTTGTAGAAGTATAATGGTCTTTTTAAAAGATTTTATTTTCAAAGAAGTTATACATACACAGAGTTTAAAGAGCCACTGAGTTCTATTAGAATGGTTAAGACAAATAGCAGTGCCCAGCCCCTCTCCCCAATCTTTCTCCTGTCCCAGAAACTACTTTCAACTCTTTTAGCTGATTTTTCTGGTCATTACTTCCATATTTCTACATACTATGTTTGTATTGCTACTTGTTGATTTTTCAGTTTCAGGCAAAATCAATTGACACCCACTTTGGAAGATTTTTTGCTTTTATCTCTGCTTCTTTCCCCACATAACACATATCATGCTCCATATCTACCCTCCACCAAGTGCTTAATATATTACAAATGTATAATTACAGTTTATATATATAATATTACAATTTTGGTAAGATCACTCCTCACAGTTTATTTTATTATATCCATGAAGTAAAGCTGAACTATGTAGTAAACTATGATTGCTTTTTCTCTTATATGCAAATTTTTGCTTTCTCTGGAGTTTATAATGATCTTTGCTAAGATTTTTACTTAATCTCAAATTCTAGTTGTCAATTTCTCCTTTCAATACATTCATTCACACTGGGTGTTCTATCAGCCTCCTGAGGAAATCTCTGGTAGCTTCTGACCTGCCTGAGATTGGACTGAGTGTCCTTTATGCTTGGCACACAGCTGAGAGCCTAGAATCAATCTTCACTATCACCCCTGGCTTCCCTTTTCACTTCTGTGTTCCCTCTCTTGTTTCCTCTAGCCTTTGCCTTCCACTTTCTTGGTTTACTCCCTTGTTTTAGTATAACCCATCCTCCAGTAGTTTCTTGAAAAAGGGTGTGTGAGAGGTAAATGTTTGAGAACTTGCATGATTCCGTGGGTAATTTCAATATAGAAACTCCATGTTCTTCAGTTCCTGGAAAGTTTCTTGGAAAAATTCCATTGATTCTCTCTTTACCTCCACTTTTCTCTGTTCTCTTTCTCTGGAACTCTTATTATTTGGATGTTGAATCTCCTGAACTCATCCTCTAATTTTCTTATCTTTTCTTTCCTGCTTTCTGTCTCTTATTGTTTAAAACTTTCTTGGAAATTTCCTCAAATTTATCTTTCAACCTTTTTATTATTCTTTTCATTTATGCTATTGTTGGTGGCCATTCTCTGAACATTTCTTTTTTAGAGCATCCTATTTCTGTTTCATGAATACATCTTCTCTTAATTATTTGAAAATATTAATTGTAGTTGATTTTAAGTTTTCTTATCTTTACTTAGTCTGTTTTCTTTAAGTTGCTTTTTTCTGTTTATTGGTTTTAGTATCTGTCACATCAAAAGCTTTCCTCAGATATCTGGTAATTCTTTGTTCTTTGCTTAAATGTAAGTGTAGGAAGATAAAAAGCTGATTGGAGGTGAAGAAGGCTGAGTGCAGGTGGGTGGGGTGGAGGAGAGGGGCTCAGCATTCAGCCTCAATATGTTCACTTAATCTCCCCATCCTGCTTTTGACATATAGATGGTCCCTGACTTACAATGGTTCGACTTACAATTTTTCAAATTCATGATGGTGCGAAAGTAATATGCATTCAGTAGAAAACATACTGAGGATACCCATACAATCATTCTGTTCTTTACTTTTAGTACAGCACTCAATAAATTACATGAGATATTCCACACTTTACTATAAAATAGGATTTGCATTAGATAACTTTGCCCAACTGTAGGTTAATGTAAGTGTTCTGAGTACATTTAAGGTAGACACATTTAAGGTAGCACATTTAAGGTAGGCTATGATGTTCGCTAGGTTAGGTATAAAATGTATTTTTGACTTGAGATATTTTCAACTTACAATGGATTTATTGGCATATAAGTTGAGGAGCATCTGTACTCTCTGCTTTCAACTGCGGCTGTTGTCCCCCTATCCAAAAACACCCAGCTTAACCCTGTCCAAAGAATAAATCTCCAATTTTCTGTTGCAGTGGAGGAGGGGTAGTTGCCCAGTAGCCGGGAATGAGAATATGACTGTTTCTTAAACAACTCAATCAATTCTCCTTATTTTAGTCCCCTTCAACTCCTTATTTTAGAATTGCTTGGTGCCACCAATTCCTGAGACTTTCAAAGTTTCAGAAGTATAAATCGGGTTGGGTTGGTTCTCAACTTTCCCAACTGCTAGCTTTTTCATGCCAGCTAAGTCAATGACTTTGCATCTATTTGCCTTCTGGTTTCCAAAATTATATTGTATACTCCCCCATTCTATCATCTACGTGGGTTTATGCCTTAAAAACATTTCTTTATGGTGGTTTAATGAGGTTTTTCAAGTGAATTCATTTTTTTTAAGTCAGTATGCAATTTTTTATTTTGATTTGAATTTTTCACTCCCATGGGAATCATAAATATAGTTTATCAGGAAATTTCTATGACCTTTTTCTTTTTTTTATTATTGAAACATAATTGATAATGCATATTTGTGGGTGCAGAGTTGAGTATCAATACCTGTGTACAATTTGTGATGAGCAAATCAGGATAATTAGCATATTCTTCATTACAAAACATAATCATTCTTTGTGTTCATGAACCAATTTCTCACTAATCACACCTTTAGCATATTCTTCATTACAAAACATAATCATTCTTTGTGTTCATGAACCAATTTCTCACTAATCACACCTCTAGTAACCACAGTTCTAGTCTCTCAAAGGGATTCATTGTAATGCATTGTTCAATCTCCAGGTTTATCTGAAGCATATTCTTCATTACAAAACATAATCATTCTTTGTGTTCATGAACCAATTTCTCACTAATCCCACCTCTAGTAACCACAGTTCTAGTCTCTCAAAGGGATTCATTGTAATGCATTGTTCAATCTCCAGGTTTATCTGATGCCCAGAAATGTATGTTTTTGCATAAAACTTTGTGGGATAGTTCTGGAATCCAAGACATCTAATAACTATTCTTATCTTTCCCAGAGTACATTTTAGCATGAATACTTTAAGTTCTGAGTGATAGGGTTTCTGTACACATTCTGGAAGAATAGTGACCAGCAGGGCTTCATGGAACAGAGAGAAACTCATTGGAAAAATGATGACAGTAACTTTTAGAAGAAGAACATTCAAGCCAGGAACACTAATGGTGAGGGCCCAAGATTTTTATGTTCTGTTGATAACATTGCAGGGCTTTATCAATCAATTATAGGCACTTCTTGACATCATCTGATAAGGCAGAGCAGAATAACCAAAGGGTCCGTTTAGAGTAGCTAACGTGCTGATCTAAAAAAAGATCACAAAACATTTTAATTAACAGTTTATTCTAGGTAAATTGTTTTCTAGAACACATGTCATGAATTAGGGCACTCCCTTAAAAGTTACTTGGAGGAGAAAGAAGCTCCAGTGGCGCAATCGGTTAGCGCATGGTACTTATAGGAAAAGTTACTTGGAGGCATGTGGTTTCCTATTCCTTAGTGCTTTCTGTATAAGTCAAATTAGTTTATTTCATAAGAGAAAAGGCCTCCTTCATCCAATGGGCCTCCATGAAGCGTTAGCTAAGTAAGAGTTCTATTTGGAAAAAGGAGAACACAAGATTATACTTGGATTTCCATGCTCATTTGGTTTCATTGCATTTTCTTTCTAGCAAAGGCTTGGTTCCTTGCAGATACTTCTGTTCAGAACTGGGCTTGTTGAACTTATTAGACTTCAGAAAAGGCTTGGTTCCTTGCAGATACTTCTGTTCAGAACTGGGCTTGTTGAACTTATTAGACTTCTTCTGAAGTCTTTCTTGTTGAACTTATTAGACTTCAGAAAGCTTGTAGCCAGCCAACACTAAAATAGGAAAAGCCAGTTGTCTATGTAGCAATAGTGAGGGGGAAAGCTAGCAATGTGATCCACTTGAAGCATGCAACTCCTTTGTTATTGTTACTGTTAGTGGAGTAACTAGTTTAGAATTATTTTAAATGCAAATTTTGTGGTTAATCTGAGAGCAAACAACACATCCATTATCAACTTCAAGGCTGAGCAAATCCTAAATTAAGTGACATGAGAATCTAGCTAAGCCTGGGGCCTTCTAGACCACTTCCATTTGAGAGCTTTTGCTTTCCTATAGTTCACCTTAGAGGGAAGTACCAAGGCTTTACATATAGCATCCAACAGACAGCACTGCTGGTTCCCTCTTCTCACCCTCAGGGCTTGCACTTGCTCCATGATGACAATGCACCCAGTTCTCACAGCAGAGACATGGCTTTTCTGTGGCCAGCTGATGTCCATGGAAGCAGCTCCTTCCCCTACCTTGCTCAGCTTGGATGATCATGTTCATCATGCAGGAGTCAGAAAGAAATAAGAATTCTCTCACATCTAAGACACAAGTGGAGAGGCCGGTCCACCCTTAGCTAAGCTGTCGGACATTTTGGAAGAAAAAATGCACTGTTACTAAAATGAAAAGTTGCTCATGCTGGAATGGGTAGGTAAAGCTTCTTGGACTATTTTCAGTGTTTGCACTCTGTCTCCTTTTCCTTCAGTCTAAATCACATTTCTGCTTCGTCATTTTGTCAACTCAGAGTAGAAATTCGTAAGAGGACCACAGAATGCTCCACAGATATTTATGGGGCACCTACTGTGTTTCGGGCCCTGTGGATCAGCAGAGAATGAGATAGGAGATAGCATGGTCAGTGGGATGTAGTCTAGCTGGAAAAGGAGACATTAAACAAATAATGTGCCTAATTATAAACTGTAATAAATGCTTTATAGGAAAAATACAGGGTGCTTATGACAGCATATCACAGGAGACCTGGCCTGGTTGGGGAGAGGTTGGGAGGAGCCCATCAGGGAACACTTCTCTATATAAATGGCATGTAAGCTGAGACCCAGAGGATGAAGAACCATGTAGAGCAGGAAAAGGAGGTCGGGGTAGAAGAAGTGGTCCACAGAAAGGGAGCTCATAAAATAGTTTTGAAGAGGAAAAAGGCTTGATGGTCTAGGAATGGAAATAAGGTCAGTGGAGCTGTAGAATAAATGAAGAAGGAAGAGAGTAGTACAAGAGGAGACTGGAGCAGTGGCCAAGGGCCAGACCCCACAGGCTCAAAGGCCATGTTAAGAATATTAAGGGGCTGGCCAGTTAGCTCAGTTGGTTAGAGCACAGTGTTATAACACCAAGGTCCAGGGTTCCAATCCTGGTACTGGCCAGCCACCCCCCAAAAAAAGACCAATACTTATTTTTAAAAAATGATATGTTTTAAACAACAGAGTGATATGATCAGATTTACATTTCAGATGATCATTCTGGCTACTCTAGAGAGAACAGATTAGAGAGGGGCAAGAGGAGACAGGGGGAAACTAGGTAGGTTGGCTACTACAATTATCCAGCTGAGAGCTGATGGTGGCTTGTGTGATGGTTAGTGGAGATGAAGAAAAGTGGAAAGATGTGAGATATATTTAGAAGGAACACTGACAAGACTTAGTAGATAATTAGATGAAGGGGGTGGTAAGAGAGAGGGAGGTGTCAACTACGACTCAGGTTTGTGGCATGAATAAGTGGGTGGATGATGCAGAGCAGACACATAGATTTTCCTTCAATTTTATGTGAACTGAGGAGGCTGAATTCATGGTGCAAGAAACACTACCCAGGGGCCTGGGGTCTGAGTCTGTCTCTGCCACTAATAAATTGTGAGACATTTGGAAGTAATTTAGCCTTTTTGAGTTTCAGTATTCTCATCTGCAAAGTGAAAGGCTTGGGTTAGATTATGTCTAAGGAGCCTTTAAGTTATCAAAAGCTACAAGAGAAAACCAGATCTGAAGTTCTGGAGTTAGAGTTTAGCTTTAATACTGGCTCTTATGGTTATGTGACATTGGGCAAGGTACTTAAACTTTTTAAGCCTCATTCATTCATTCATGCAACATAAAATTATTAGCAACCATGCCTATTCTAGAAGCTGGGAATATAGCAGTGATTAAACTAAAGTACTTGCCTGAATAACTACAATAGGGGCAACAGACAATAAATAAGATAATTTCAGATACCGATTACTATTGTGAGGAAAGTAAAACATGCTAATGAAATAGAGAATAACTATGAGGGTGGGGCTGCTGCTACTTTAGCCAGCATTGTTGGATAATGCCTCAGTTCTCTCATTTGTTAAATAGAAGCAAGAAAAGCATCCACTCACAGGGTGTTGTGAGTATTAAATGAGATAATGCATATAAGGCACTTAGAACAGTTCCTGTGTCACATAGTAACTTTTTAATAAAGTTAGCTATTGTTAATTCTTCTGTTGCTGTTATTATTGTGACATGTTTCTATTCAGGGAATTTATCAACCTTAACTACATTTCATGATACTTCTAGGGAGATTCTTATTCCCAATTGAGAACTAACAAAATCAAACCAAAACTGAACTTTGGAAAACTGTGTTCTAGCTATGGGAACTCTGAAAATCTCTCTGAAACAAGAATTCCATATATCTGGACAATACTTGTTCTGTACATGTCCTCCTGCTCTGACCTATTAATGGATTCACTCTGCACAATAAATGATTAAGTGCAGGACTCCCTATGCTCATGGAGCCAGGTCACCGAGAGCATGAGCACATCTAGGGGCAAAGGAATGTCCGCAGAGCCTAGAACAGTGGGCAGGTAGAAGCTTGCCCTGTGACACTAATGTTTATTGAATGCTGACGCTGCCTGGGCACTATGAGGCAGATGAGGAAACCAAGGCATAGGGAAGTTAAGAAACCTTCCTCCTGACAGATACTTTGCCACAGAGTTTAGAATTTGAACCCAGGGAATCCGACTTTAGAGCTGTTATTCTTAACCTCTGGCTCTGCTGCCTTCCACTAGATCACAAAAGCAGGGTCCAGATAAACTATTCTGCAATTTTGTTTCTTCCCCTGATCCTGGAGAAGCCAATTGAAGTATCAGAAGGACAGATTATAAGCATGCAGAAAGAGAAGTGAAGGGGCACAAAAAATTGCCTAAGTATTTCAACAAGAAATTCTTCTAGTACCCATTTATGGGTGTAATCTGACTTTAAATGCACCAAAATGTAGAACAAATTTTAATTCGGACACCTGTTAATGTGATGATGATGAGGTATGGCAAAGATGGAAGGAGTCCCAGTCCTGTCCTCACACTGAGGCAAGGAGGGGAAGACAGTCTTTGGAGCACTTTCCCCAGAGGCTCCAGCCTTAGGTCTGTTGGTCAGTTTTAGAGCAGATGCCGGGAAAGCAACTGAGCGACAGATGAGAAATGGAGAGAGGACAAGAAGCTGCTGAAGCACCACTGAGAAAAAGGAATGCACTTTAGCCACAGCCTCAGCTGCAGCAGCTCATTCGGTGAAGACACTGAACTTGGAAGACAGCTCTGATGCTCAATAGCTTTGTGACCTTAGCAAGTCATTTAAGCTTTCCTTGTCTCAACTCCTTATCTGAAAGTAACAATACTACCTACTCCATAGTACAGCCTGAGGATTAAATGAATAAGAAGAGTACCTAGTAAGTGCTTAATTAGTGTTTGCTATTATCATTATTATTATTGGCGGCAGCAGCATCACTTCTTTTTTTTTTTTTTTTTTTTTTTTTTTTTTGCCCGG